AGTTCAGTGCGTTCACTGTCTGAGTGTCAGCTCGTCTGGTGATCGCCCTGCTGACGGATGTCAGGGCACGCCCACGGCGATAGCTAAGTTGCTCGAGAATCCCATGGGCCATTCCCTCGTTGCCGTGTCGGGAACGGCTCTCAAAACTGCTTCTGGTGCTTCCTCGGGTCCTGTTTCGGGTTCTGGACGCACCGAGATAAAGGAGCAACAATTGTTGTGTCTCAACTGTGGTGGCTGGACTCAGGGAAGGATGATCAAACTTGCTAAGACTTGTGAAGCACCTACGCCTAAGGGCCTCGAGGTTTTGAGCGCGTTTCGTCGGGGGTTAGGGCCAAACCCAAGGTTGAGGGAACGTTTGGATAAGGCCATCCCCATTTCTCGACTTGATGCGACTCTCGCAAGCCCGAAAGAGGTGCAGTCTGTGTCGTCCGTCCCCAGAGGTTTCTCCTCTAGTGAAGAGGCCCCACAGTATGAGCAGAGAATGGCTGCCTTACTCGCCCGAGTTAAGGCCAAAGAAGCCAGTTCTCAATCGATGGTATATTTTTTGTAACCTAGCCAGTCTTTGGTGTGTTCACCTTCCGACCTTTTCCAAGGCGCTGTCTTATCTTATCTTATCCTCCTCCTCCTCCTCCTCATCATCATCATCATCATATGTTATTTTTCCTTGAGAAGAATTATTTCCTGTCACACCCCGAGGCAGGTCGAAAGGGCCGGCCAGGCGTTTTGCCTGAGATTTCTTCCTCACCATGGATGATCCTGAAACTTGAAAGTTGCAGGAGCTTCACGGATGGAGGGCGATCCGCTTTTCAAAATGCGGTTCTCGCCTCGGCGCCGCGCACACCCGTTTTCACAATTTGTAGCGTCACAGATGGCGGGCGGTCCGTTTTCAAAATGTGGCTCTCGCCTCAGCGCCGCGCGCATTCGTTTTCAAATGTTGTATTTTTTACGGATGGAGGGCGGTCCGTTTTCAAAATGGGGCTCGTTCCGGCGCCACGCACATTCGTCTACAGATTTCGCAAGAGGCTCAAGGATTCTCGTGGCTGGCTTCCCAGGAGTGGTGTTTTGGCACGGCGTCGGAATGTCAAACATTGGAAGGGACCTCTCAAGCTTTCGTCGGAACGCAGCTGAGCACAGGAGGGCGTGCAGGCAGCTACGGAGCTCGGACATGCAGAAGCAAGGTGCGGACGACGCTGCAAGAGCCTTAGGAGAGCTGCGCGAGCACCAAATCCGCAAGTGGCCGGGGAGCCCCCGCGCCATGCCCACGAGCGTTGCTTGAAGTCCCAGGAAGTGCGCACGATCCAGGATCGTCAAGACGCAGCAGTACTGGTGATTCGCGGCGTTGAAGTCTCAGGGATGGCGTTCTGGTACAATTCTAGATGTTCATACGGTTGTCCTGTCCAACAGGGCATTTCCTTCGGTGAAAATGAGTCCGCGTAGGGGCCTATGAAGAGGGAACTTGGAGGAGGGTTCACTGCAATATCGCTGATGTGTCTTGGGTTTGGGTTTGCAGTGGTCCTCCTCCTCCCCCTCCTCCCCCTACTCCTCCTCCTCCTCCTCCTCCTCCTCCTCCTCCTCCTCCTCCTCCTCCTCCTCCTCATCATCATCATCATCATCATCATCATCATCATCATCATCATCATCATCATCATCATCATCATCATCATCATCATCATCATCATCCCCTCCTCCTCCTCCTCCTCCTCCTCCTCCTCCGCCTCCTCCTCCCCCTCCTCCTATGCCCTCTTCCTCCTCCTCCTCCTCCTCCTCTCCTCCTCCTCCTCCTCCTCCCCCCCTCCTCTCCTCCTCCTCCCTCCTCCTCCTCCTCCTCCTCCTCCTCCTCCCCCCCCCTCCTCCTCCTCCTCCTGCTGGGCGCCTGGGCGCGGCCCAGTCGAGGAGGGTCGGAGGAGCGGGGCCCTCCCGAAGCGCCTAGGGCCCCGAGGTGCGCCCCCCCCCCCCCCCCGCGGATCGATCTTCGAGGTGCACAAGCCCGTACGGATCTCACCCTGGGCCTTCCACCCTAAGAGAATGCCCAGGGGAGGCCGCGCGCGATCTCTCCAGGCCTCCCAGGAAGCTGTTTCTTTAGGGTCGGGCGATAACCCGGGTCATCGGGCTTGCACCCTCCCCGACCCCATGGCCCGGCCCGGCGCCCCCCACCGGGAGGCCGCGCATTTTTCGGGGGCGGAAAAGACCCAGACCGCCTCGAGCAATGAAACATTCACGACGGGAGGTTTTTCCTAATTCTCGGCCTCCGGGGGCCCTCGCCGGGCCTCGGGAGCGTCAAAAAACGGCTCAGGATGCAAAGCCGGTCGTGGGGAAAGGGTCGGGGCCTCTGGAGGTCGACGTAATGAAAAAGTCATTACGTCGGGGGTCTGGGAAGAGGGGGGTGATGACTAGGGGGGGGGGATCTCATGGCGGGGCCCCTGAGATTTCCCCAGATCTCATGGCGCCTCTTCTCATTTCATTACGTCCCTGGTCCCCCCGCGGGGCCGCGCACACGCCGCCGGTCATGATTTGCACCCCCCCCTCTTGGACACCCCCCTCTTGGCCGCTCCCGACATTTTCTTTGGGTGGAGGCCAAAGGGTGAAATCTGAAATGCCGTGTCCACGGACTTTCGATGCTCGAATTTGCAAAAGGTGAACCACAACCCGGATCGAAGTTTTTCGAGGTGCAAAAGCCCATACGGATTTCACCCCGAGCCTTCCACCCCAAGAGAATGCCCAGGGGAGACCGCGCGCGATCTCTTTGCCGGTGGTGCAGGTCCGCGGGAGGGGTGGGGGTGCAGGGCTGCCCACAGCGCGAGGGTTAGGTTATCGGCTGGCCCCCTCCTCCCCCGCCCCCCAGGATAACCCGGGTTATCGCCGATTCCCAAAAATTGGCCTCCCAGGTGGGCGACGCAAAAAGCGTTGCGCGCATTGCAGGCCCTCCTACGAGCCCTCCCAGGCCGCGGACTCTCCAGGCCCTCGTGAGGGTCGTCTTCGCCGACCTTCGCGCGTGAGCTGCCCGCGCAAGGTCCCGCGTGAGTGCGCTCGTCTCCACTGCGGCGTGCCGCGCCGGCGGCCCGCGCAAGCCGCCGCGTACGGTCAAGGTCGCTGTAGCAGCTCGCGTAAGACCCGTTTGTGATCGTCGCTCAGATGGGGTCAGAGGATCGCGCCGCATCGCCGATGCGGCTCGATGTGGAGCTCGATTTGCTTCACGCCGACGTCGCGGATGCATCGCCGACGTCGACGATGCGGCGAGATCCTCCGACCCCACCTACTCGGACCCCAGAGGCCTCTAAACTCGGAGGAGGAGAAGATTCAAGGAACAATACACGGCATGAACATAAACTCTTGGAGTTCCGCGCGGATGTTTGGGATCTGCGCCTGGGCCCACCCTGGCGGCGCTTCCGGCGCCGCCCCTGGCGCGCTCCGCGCGCCAGGGAGGGGGTCCAGCTCAGATCCAAGACACCCGCGCGGAGCGTCAAAAGTTTGCACGCATGACGTTTCCAACTACATTCGGCTACCTGTCCCTCGTTTCCCCCTCCTTGGGCCTCCTGGGAGGCCTTCGTCGCCACCGCTGTGGTGTTCTTTGGATTTAGACGTTTTTTGAGGGGAGGGGGTCAGCCGTGTCGCCTTGCCGACGCTCCAGCCGAGCCCCAGAAGCACCACAAACCGCTTCGAGACGGTTTCAGTGGCTCCCCCCAGGGGCGCCGAGAGTACCGAAGAGGCCCCAAAGCCACCCCAAGACACCTCCAGGACGGCCCGACGTCGCGCCCGAGTCGCCAGAAAAATTCATTCGTGGTCGCGGGGCTGTGGTGGGGTCGCGGGGTTGTGGGGTCGCGGGGTTCGTGGTCGTGGGGTCATGGGGTTGTGTTAGTGTCGCGGTGTCGTGGGGTCGTGGGGTCCCAGGGTTTGGGGATGTGGATCGTGGGTTTGTGTGTTCGCGGGGTCGCGGGGTCGTGAGGTTGTTGTGTGGTCGCGGGGTAGTGCTGCCGTGTGGTAGTGATGTCGGTCAAGAAAGTTGCCGTTGTTCAAGTGGGTTGGCGCGACTTCGGAATCGGGAATCTGGAATCCAAAATCTGGAACCCGGAACACCTGGAACACCCGGAACTCGCAGAACCCCGAACCCAAAACCTGAAACTTGGAACCGTGGACATCGGAACCCGGAACTTGGAACCCGGAACCCGAAATTTGGAACCCGGAACCCGGAACCGCGGACACCGGAGTTTGGAACCTAGAACCCAGAAGACGGTTAGGAGTTGTTGTCTTGTTTTATTCTCTGGGAAGGGGGGCGGGGGGGGTCCGCGGGCTCGCGGTCGTCGCGTCGCCCTCCACACGAATGCGACGACGTACGACGGCACGACGATTTGCAGTGGCGTTCGGCGACGAGTGTGACGGCGCTCGAAGACCCGAGACGGTTCAAGAGCCGCCTGAGAAGGCCCAAGAGGGTCCCAAGACGGCCCCAAAAGGGTCCGTAGCCAGCTCTCAAGGGTGAAAAAAACCACCCCGACCCCGACAATTCGCGTTTACTGAACAGCCCTGGGCGTTTACTTAACAGCCCTGTTTCGATTCCTTCCATGGGTGCGTTTGCTAAACTGCTTCGCTTGTCGGGGCGCTTATTATGGGGGTGGATTTTCTGCTCTCTAAGTTCGGCTCAAGGCAACTTGGCTCGGGCCAGCCTTCTTCCAGCACCTGCTGCAGTGCAAGGCATCTGGGCTTGGTCGGCTGCCCTGTGCGCTCCAGGCGCCGAGTCCGCGATTCGCTGGCGAAGCCGAAGTAGCCTAAGTTTACACACATTGTTCGTTTCGAATTCTTCGAAAATGATTTGATCTTTGAGGGGGCCAAGATCCTTTCCTTTCTAATTGTTCTACCCTGGGCCTCTTCCTGGCCGCTAGGGGGCCAGGAACAATCAGAAGCGAGCACAATTAGAAGTGAGCACGGTTAGAAATGATGCGACGTGCACGCATCAGATGTTTTTGCTCACGTCTGAAGCCATATTGGCTTGACTCGTGCTGAAGAGCATGTTAACCTCTTGGGCTGGATCCGGCGGTTCAAGGCGCATTTGCTCAACACGTATTCTGGCAAATTGGTTGAAGCAGCATAGTTTGGATCAGCGCATTGCCGATCTACCTCGAACGCACGCGGTATTCGCGAGCAGTCGGTGTCTTCTGTTTGGTCTGAACGGCCAGGTACGTGGACGAATTCTGGGAGCCGCTGCGCGAGAAAGGGATCGATCGTTGCATCCATCGTGCAGGGTTGTGGGCGCACAGGACACTCTGAAGCTCCAAGGTGACGCTCCTTTCGATTGGTTGCGGGTTGATGGCCGCGGCATTGAAACCCGAGTGAAGCATAAGTCAGCATTGATGTCTTGGGATAAAAGTGGTAAGCGTTGGACCGCTGCATTTGCAGGTATCGAGATTGATCAGCACGATGAACTACAACTAACATTGGTAACGCCAGCAGGAGTGCTTTGTTTTATCCAAAGTGATTCGGCTTGGCCCATTGTTGGCAAGACGTGTGGCCGAAAAGGAAGGAACATCCGTCTAGTAGGACCATCTGGGGAATTTGACGTCGACAGCGCGTTGCAGAAAATGGTCACAAAGGTTGGCGCAGTGAGTTCAGTGTTCACGTATCCTCACGATGATCCGATATTGAAGTGGGCAGCAGCTTCGTGTGCATCCCGCACACATGAGATCTACGCGGCCCTCGGGTGCCCATTCAACGGCTTAGACATCCGTTCGCGAGGCATGCTGTTCGAAGCCATCGCGCGAACCCGTGACGCTGAGCGGCATATTGAGTCTCATGTTGACCACGCAGATGTATGTTTCGGCGCTGATGGGAGGCAGTTGCATGCCTCGATTCGCAAATATGATTGGAAGAGAACGCACCGACACAGTAGATCTCACGTAAGAGTTGAACACAAGTCTGCCCAAGTAACATGGGACAGCACAAACAGGCTTTGGAGAGCTATATGGAAGGGGGTGGTACCAGACAATCACGACGAGCTGCAACTCACATTGTATTCGCCGAATGCTTTGCGCACATTCATTCACGATGGCTCTACAGGACTGTCTGGAAGAAGTTCCAAGCGTGACGTGGCATTTTCGGGGCCGAAGGGTGAACATGACATTCACCTTTCCATGTCTGTACTATTGCATAAACTTGTCGTGGCTTTCGGTTCGCCAGTGACAGAATATCTTTGAATATCTAGTGCCATTTTGCGCGTGGCCATTGCGATGATAGAATCGTTGCGCGTTGCTTCGTTTACGAGTGCGATCCGCTGATCGCACGCACCCTCGTACCCGAAGCGTCATGGCGCCAGGCTGGCCCCGCATAGACGATTTCGCGCTTAAAAAAGACTGCCCCAAAAGGGCGAACACGAACCGAATGCTAAATCTTGCCGCCCCAAGAGGCCCCCAGGAAGCCAAGAGCACCCCCCCCCACAGACCCCAAGAGACCCCAAGAGCCCCCCCCCCAAGAGATCCAAAAGAAGCCGAACAGACTTCAAATCGACCAACCGAAGAGACCTCAACATTGCCTCCACGATGCACCCGAGAGGGCACCCACGAGATCTGACCCACACCCTAGGCACGGAGGCGGAATGAACCGACGACCACTCGGGACGTACATGCACAGTTAGTGTAAACATGGCGACGACAGCGGCGGTAGTCGCGATCACAGCAATGGTAGATATGGCGGTCATGACGGTCGCGAGAGTGCCCGTGGTATTGGAGGCAGCCGTGGCGCAGCTGTGACTAGAACTTAAACGCGCGCGAAGCGCGCGAGTGGATTTAGTGTGTATAGGTGTACATGTAAATGTACATGTGCACACACATCCACATCCATACAAACATACATACGCACATACGTACTAACGCACAAACATACATACACCGGTGTATATATACCAATACATACGTGCACATACACGTATATATCTACACATACGTATACAGCATACGTATAATCATAAGCATAAACATTTCAAATATACCTATACACATACATATAACTATACATATATATATATATATATAGATACGACCACCCTTCGGGTGATAAGGAGGTTATGTGGGGGAGGAGAGGGGGGGAACCAACATCTGACTCAATCGATCTCACTATCGATCTCACTCAACGGGACACCACGAGGCACCACTGGGCACCTGTCGATCTCACTATCGATCTCACCATCGATCTAATTTTACGGGACACCACGGGGCACCTCGGGGCACCACATCGATCTCACTATCGATCTCACTATCGATCTCACTCAACAGGACACCTCGGGGCACCACATCGATCTCATTATCGATCTCACTCAACGGAACACCACGGGACACCACGGGACACCACGGGACACCGCGGGACACTTGTCGATCTCACTATCGATCTCACTCAACGGAACACCATAGGACACCACGGGACAACATGGGACACTTCGGGACACCATATCGATCTCACTACCGATCTCACTATCGATCTCATTCAACGGGACACCACGGGACACCTGTCGATCACACTATCGATCTCACTATCGATCTCACTCAACGGGACACAACGGGACACCTCGGGGCACCACATCGATCTCACTATGGATCTCACTATCGATCTTACTCAACGGGACATCACAGGACACTTGTCGATCTCACTATCAATCTCACCACGGGACACCTCGAGGCACCACATCGATCTCACTATCGATCTCACTATCGCTCTCACTCAACGGGACACCGCGGGACACTTCTCGATCTCACTATCGATCTCACTTTTTGGGACACCAGGGGACACCTCGGGGCATCACTATCGATCTCACTATCGATCTCACTCAACGGACACCACGGGACACCACGGGACACCGCGGGACACCGGGGGCCACCGCCGGACGGGCGGGAGGGGGAGAATCATTTGTGTTGGCTTCGCCCTATCAACGGCGGGTTCAGTCCTCTCGCGCGCCCACGCAGCTTCTCCTCGCCCGCACGCACGACACGAAGGAAACGAAACGATTTTCCGGTTGGGGGTCTCTGTTCCACTGCGATCTCACCCCTCAACATCCGACATGTATATATATATATATATATATACACATATATATATATATATATATATATTTATATATATATATATTCCCCAATCAGAGTTTGCCTCTGTAGGGGTCCTAGCGGATTCAGATGGTTAGGTTAGGTTTGCCGCCGATTTTCGCCGCACGCCCGGGTGGCGGGGTGCCCGGGGGTGCCCGGGTGCCCGGGCGTGCCCGGGGGTGCCTTGGTGCCCAGGGGTGCCCAGGGATGCCCCATAGCCCAATAGCCCTATAGCCCTACAAGTCTATAACCCTATAGCTCCATAGTCCTATAGCTCAGTAGCCCTATAGCCCCCTAGCCCTATAGCCCTGATTGGGGCCTTTCTCCGGTATCATATATATATACACATATATATATATATAGATTCAAGACTGCAGTGGCGCTTCGCGCCATGCACCTTGGTCCTTGAAGTTTGGCATGCAGGCGGAATAGCAGGAAGGTCAAGCCGACAATTTAGCTATCACTCCTTGTTGCCTGTCTGGCATCGCCGCTATGATAATGTTATTCGTTATCCTTCCTCCATGCTTCTTTTTCATGTTCGCCATACCCTGCGCATCCTCCCCATCCTCCTCGGCTCTTTTTGCGGAGGCTCCTCCTTGGAGAGCCTCTGGGGGCCTCGCAAAAGTTATGTCAAGCTTTCTTACGGCCTTCTGGAGGCCTCTTGGGCGTGTTCTGGGGGCCTCTGGGGGCTTCCTCGGGTCGCCTTGCCTCCAACCGCGGTCTCCCTGAACGACCGGGTCACGATTTGGAATTCTTCGGAGGGTGTCTTGGGGCCATTTTGGGCCGGAATGAGGCTCTCTGATGGCCATCTTGGACCCTTGCTGTGCCGTTTTGGGGCTCTGTTGGATTGCCTGGAAGCCCTTTGAAATGGTTATGGGGCGATTTTTGAGCTTCCCAGGCGGCTTCGGACGCCCAGAAGACCGCCGTCTTGGAGCGTCGGGAAGCCCAAAAGAGGAGAACCCCAACACTCACCAAAAACCAATAGAAGATCAATGATTTTTGCCTCTTGGGGCCTTCTTGGAAGTGCTCTTGGAGGCCTCTTGGGACGTTTCGGGACGATCTTTGGGGATATGATGGATTCTTGGGGGTCGTCTTGAGGTCACGTCGGTTACTCTTGGAGCGCTCTTGTGCGGTCTCTGGGACGTCTCCGATGACCCCCCCGATCGCCCTAGGTGTGCTGGGAAGGCCTGGAAAAACGCCCTGCGAGGCCCGGGGGGCCGCTTCGAGGCCCGTCTGGAGGGCCCCAAAGCCCCAGATCCCGGGAGCCCTGTTTTTTTTGGGGGGACGCGTCTTGCCAGGCCTTCCCAGCACACCTAGGGCGATCGGGGGGGTCATCGGAGACGTCCCAGAGACCCTGAAGCAGCACAAGAGCGCTCCAAGAGTAACCGACGTGACCTCAAGACGACCCCCAAGAATCCATCATATCCCCAAAGATCGTCCCGAAACGTCCCAAGAGGCCTCCAAGAGCACTCCCAAGAAGGCCCCAAGAGGCAAAAATCATTGATCTTCTATTGGTTTTTGGTGAGTGTTGGGGTTCTCCTCTTTTGGGCTTCCCGACGCTCCAAGACGGCGGTCTTCTGGGCGTCCGAAGCCGCCTGGGAGGCTCTAAAATCGCCCCATAACCATTCCAAAGGGCTTCCAGGCAGTCCAACAGAGCCCCAAAACGGCACAACAGGGGTCCAAGATGGCCCTCAGAGAGCCCCATGGCGGCCCAAGATGGCCCCAAGACACCCCCCGAAGCATTCCAAATCGTGACCCGGTCGTTCAGGGAGACCGCGGTTGGAGGCAGGGCGACCCGAGGAAGCCCCCAGAGGCCCCCAGAACACGCCCAAGAGGCCTCCAGAAGGCCTTAAGAAAGCTTGACATAACTTTTGCGAGGCCCCCAGAGGCTCTCCAAGGAGGAGCCTCCGCAAGAAGAGCCGAGGAGGATGGGGAGAATGCGCAGGGTATGGCGAAAATCAAGAAAAAGAAGCATGAAGGAAGGATAACGAATAATATTATTATAGCGGCGATGCCAGAAAAGGCAACAAAGAGTTATCGCTAAATTGTCGGCTTGACCGTCCTGCTATTCCGCCTGCATACCAAACTTCAAGGACCAAGGTGCATGGCGCCAAGCGCCACTGCAGTCTTGTATATATATATATATATATATATATATATATCCCTTTATCCTTCATATTGGAAGAGAAACCCCCCTGGATGGGTGTCATAATGGCCAGAACGGTCCAAGAGCCCCGAGGGCGTCCGGACTGGCGTAAGATATTCAAGACCAGCGTAAGGTATTCTCAAGACAGCCCGAGGAGGTCCAAGACGGCTCCAAGACAGCGGTGGTTCATAAAATGGTTTCCGATGTTTTTAGATAACGTCGAGATGATTCATAAATGGCCCCAGTCAGCCAAAGAGGCCCTCGTGGGGGCCCTCCAAGAGGGCTTCATGAGACCAGAAGTATACATGCTCTATACGTTTTGGCAAGTTTAATGAATCCTCTTCGAGTTTCTGACGGCCCTAGATGGTCCGTGGGCCCCAAAGGTCGCCCCAAGACGGCCAAAAAGACCCCTAAGAGGGCCCCAGGACGGCCTGACAGAGCCCCAAGATAGCCCAACAGGGCTCCGCCACGGCCCCAGAGGGCGCCAAAAGGCTTCCGAGAGAGCCTCAACGGAACCCCAAGAGACACCCAAGAACGACCCAAGACGGGCAAGATCCTCCAAGACGCCCCAGGGCCCCCAGAAAGACCCCAATACCATCCAAAAGGGCCCCGAGAGGACACCCACGCACAGCTCTCCCGAAAGTGTTTCCAGGTTTCCATGCTTTCTGGCTCTACTAGCTCTTGAGGCGTCCCAACATCTTCGCCCCAGTGGCCCACGAGCTCCTCATACTTCTCCTCCTCCCCTTCCTCCCTCCCTCCCCCTTCTCTCTCCTTCCGGTCCACGTTCGTCAGATACCCCACGTGTTCCACCTTATTTTCAAACGCCTGCCATGTACATCCTCTTCCACTTTACAGTGATTGAGGTGAAATTGCACAAGCATTGTGTTTTCCTCACGGGTCTGACCAATTCGCTTCCATGAAGCCCAGCAACGCGCATTGTCATCCATGTCTCCCCCCAGGGCAAACAGGACAGGAGCAG